TACGAGGTTTAAGCTCCAACAAACCCACCCATCCCACCCTGGGGGAGGACATCCATCACACAGTAATCTCGTGCGTGGGAAATTAACGTCTCCTACCCCTAACCCTGCAGGAGACGAGACCTCCATTTATTCTTCCCTATCCGATTAGACTAGAGTGTCTAACCATTTCTAGATGTTAAAGAAAGGTAGCATATTCTTCTCAATTATTTTAAGACCTCGAGTGTTGGTCCGGCCGGGGCTCGAACCCTCGACCTCCCGCACAACAGTCCAGCGCTCTATCCATTTAGCTAACCGGGAGGCGGTTGATACAACTCGATGCAATGATGATTTGTAAATAAAGAGTTTGAGCCGAAAGGTCAGAAGTGCGCCGTTTCGCAAATTACAAATATGTAAATCTGTAATTTGCGAAACGAGCTTTTTGAAGACTCTAAGGATATGTAACTTGTTTCTTCCGATTTTATAACCCTTTAAATTTGGTAGATAAAAATCGAGGCAATGATGCATATTGAACATAGAGTTTGAGCCAAAAGGTCAGAAGGGACCCGTTCAAATCTACACCAACAACATATATAGGTGCAAAAATGAGTTTAAAAAAGTATGAATTATCTTAATACCCCATTATATCCTTTCTTTTTCTTTTCTTTATCAAAAACTGTCATCCAACGTACATTATAACTGTAACATTTTTCCAGAGGAGTAAATGAGAATTCATTCCAAGTAAAACAAATTATACACAAACTAAATACATCTACACTGAAATGCTGCTTTCACTTTTGCCTGACAGAACGCCACTGTTCTCGGGACAGTGACTTACTCTCACTGACAATTTTTAGCTCTGGAATATAGCTCAGTCAGCTTAAACAAGTGAAGTCGCCTCTAAATTTTACATAACACGCAGTGTCATCCTCAGGGATTACATTTCGCGCGTCAACTATGGATAGGCTTAATGAAATCTTTTCTCTTGTAGTACAACACAATAAGTTGGATAAATGAGGAGTGTCAGTGCAGTGTATTTTGTTGCCACTTATCTCTTTGGCACTCCTCTTGGCAACATTTTAAAAATCCCTCTCGATTATTGTCAAAATTCATCGTCGGCGAAACAAACCAATACAGTTCCACATATATCAAAAGTTATTGCGCTTTCAAACGTCTTAAAAAGAGCAAGAGCTCGCCTTTTTTTCTTACTGATTGGGAACGAACGTGAACGTTCAAGCTTATTAATTTCTCTCGAATTTTTTTTTCTTTTTTTCCGCTTTTCTTTAATATTTTCAGCAACTGGCTGTATGAGAAATGAAGTTACGTACGAAAGTCCTGTCCAAGGTTTTAGAACTAAATTTAAGGGTGTTTCTTTCTTGTTCCACCTTTTTCAAACTTTAAATGGCCTTGCGTGAATATTTGGAAGGCACTTTATTTCAGAAAAGCACTTCTATAAGCGATCTCCATAACAGGTGGAAGCAGTTTATACCTTGAGTCGCAAACCTTTCAGCAGTTCCATTTTATGACTATCGCGGAGCCTACCCTTCACGTCGGTTTTAATTTTTAGCCTTCCCTTCCAAAAGTATGGATGCCGTGGCAACAGACACTCTTTCTTTGGACAGTAGAACCTCGCCGCCGTCTTCTTTCTAGTGGGAGTATATCTCAAAACCTTTGCCGAGTTCTCGGGATCTTTTACTGGGTAGAGGTAGCGCTCTTTATGCATCACACATATATCCCACGGTGCGATGGGCAGGGTCCGAGAGAAATTCACCTTGCACTGCTCACAGCTTTTGGCATTTGGGAAGTCGTTGACAAAAACAATATTGAACGGTTCGTCGTTGTGGTAGAATTCTGTAAAGCGATATGGTTTCGCAAAGTCGAGATCGGGATCATGAACCGAATTGGGATCTATTTCCTCAACAACTGGCTCCTGCTCGACGTTGTTATTACCTCGGCGAGGCTTCTTCTGGCGACACTTTGCACCAGCACTTCTGGGGACATTGTTAAAAGCGAGCCTAGACTCCAGGTCGTTTTGCTGCGCATAATTTTGGATCTGCTGCATTAAGTTTCCTTGCGTTTCAGCCACGGCGATGGAATGCTGGCATAATCCCCCAGTTGCCACAGACGAAGCACAATCTTTGCAGTGGAATTTTCCTTTCTTATTTTCAACGGTAAAGGCTTTGTCGCTTTCAGTAACACAGAAGTTCCCGTTGTCCAATGGAATGACCTTGAATCGTGCAAGAATTATTTCTGCTTTACGCCAAATATCTGCTACAACTTGAGATGCAAGTTGTTTTGGCAAACCGCTTTCTTCAAGAGAAATAGACAGCTTCTTTAAGGCCATGTCGTCTGAACTCTTGTCGTCAAGTAATTCTTGACCTAAGACTTTCTTTATGTACGCAGATCTTTGTTCGCGTGTCATCTGGGACCACCTTAGGGGGTCGATACTGAAATTCTCGTATCCTGGTGCAAGACGGTACTCGCCCATTCCGTACACTGCTTTTATAAATTCGCTGTTCTGCTGCTGGACAACTCGATGGTTGACATTCTCGTGAATTGTAGCCTGATCTATGGACTGCCCATGTGCTTCTTCCTTCATGACATGATGCAAAGCCTCGGTACCTTGGTTGTGCCATTAGTTAGGCGGATTACCCAGTCCTGCAGCCACTCGTAAAGGTTTCATCATGCACATTTTCAGCGTATCAGTCAGTGGTCTTATCCGTCCTTTTGCGCTAAACATCCATTTGGTAAATCCAGCAGGCCAACGTAGGCGCGATAAGGCCAAAGCGGCGTCAAAAGATTCGTCATCCTCACAATCCACAAGACCCTTGATGCGTCTCCCGTCTTTTTCTCCGCCAAGAATTTGGGAACAAATAGTTCTTTGTTCTTTGGAATCTACTTTCAGTTGTTGAAGTTTACCCTTTAAATCAGCTTCTACGTGGGTAAAACACCTCAGGTGGATGTTTTTCTTCGCTTCTGTTGCAACATCTGAGCTGCTTGAGATGGGGAACACATTTTCGAATCCTTGTTCGAGGGCAAGTTCTCCATCTGTCCCATACGTCAGGGATCGGATGCCTTTGCGATATAACGACGAAGCAAGGTACTCGTAATCTTCCCTCTCCTTGGTGACACTTGTCACTATAGCAGCCAGAGTTATTGGGTGCATATTAGGCTTGTTTCGGTAGACAAACATTGGATGAGGAAACGTCAGAGTTGTAACATAGAATGGACCCATGTTATAAGTCATGTCTATCCCAATTTGGCTTTTNAGGAGGCTTTGATTTCACTCCAAAGGAGACGTCCCGAAGGAAGTCATCATGCTGTATTAAATTCATGAGTTTGACAAAATCTGGTCGGCGTGGCGGGCCAGTGTTCCGACTTTTTTTCCGCCCTTCCAAATTTCGGCAAACGTTGTATACCTGCTCTCTATTACGGATTATGTCCGCTGGTGAACTCACGTTGAGAACACCTCCAGCTTCCTCTTCTATGGCGCTGATAACATGCTTTGGTGTCTCACTTGCTTGAGCTACGGCTTTCGCTTTCCGTATCACACTTGGTTTGGTACGATAATACGGCTCACTTTTCTTGTGGGAGTTACCGTGCGCTTTTAAGGATAGCGAACTCGCATCCGGTGGAGCTTTGTACTGCACGACAGCATACCTTGCAAGCACGCCCTCAGTTTCCACTTTGGCTACTATTCGACAAAACTCTTTTGAAGTATGGTGCCAACTGTACTGCCTTCGCACTTTATAAACATGCCCATCAACATTACACTCTTCTGGATGAGCTGTTTTCAAGCTATCAACAGCGCCATTTTCCCGAAAAACAGCCCTGACTATATCACATGGGGATGAATGCTTCTTATACACGCCATTGTCATCTGCAGTCAAATCGCGATGGTCTACATAATTCTTTATGTCAATCACAAAAACAACATTTTCTCGCACTGCCTGAGGTACTGTGTGGCAAATCCGGCTGGATGGTACTTTCTCGCCAACACACACTTCCAAGATGTCCAAAATGTTGAAACCTCTCTTGCCTCTACGAAATACAGGGCAACCATTAACATTTTCTGGAACCAAAAAAAAACACAGTAGATATAAAATATGGAAACTATGACGGCGCTGTGCATCACTTCAAAACGTGGATTGGGGATAACGTAATTATAATAACATGGCTTTCTTCAAGGAAGATCTGCGATGCAGCTCATAATCCTTAAGTTTTTTTTTTTAATCTACAGAGGTTTAAGTTCAAGATTGGGAAACTGGAATGGTAGCGCTCTTCTGTTCAACTTCACCGACTGAAAGAAAGAGAAACTATTCAAGCACAACAAACTATAGCAAAATTGACTTTCATCATGGTCTTTGCACCCCATGCCACGCGTTGTTGTTGTTGTTGGTTCTGTCTCTTTTTGTGAGGGTGTTTTTCCCATGCGAGTTCAACGTGAGGTCTATGAACGAGTTCATAAGATGATATAGACACTTACGTGGCATGGACTCGTCGTCATCATGTTCTGAAAGAGAAGCGGCTTCACGGGTCCTTTTTCGCGACTTGGTGAGCAATTTCTAGAAAGGAAGAGGTAACATCACCTCACGATTTCTCCGATGTGAAGTTCACCATAGGTACAAATAATAATGATAGTACTACTACTAATAATCATAATAATAATAGTCATTTCTTTTTTTTATTTTTTATTTTTTACTTTTTCATAAACTTTAAAGTTAGATGCTAGGTTGTATGAAGTTACTCAAGAAAAGTTATTTCTCGCATTAAAAAAAAAGTAATAATAATAATAATAATAACAATAATAATAATTTTTCGTATTAATTTTATTTCACAAAATCAGTAAAATAGTACTAGTAGTAATAGTAATAGAATAATAGCAATAGTATATATAGTAATAATAGTAATAGTATAAATAAAATAGTAATAGTAATAATAGTAATAATAATAATAATGATAATAATAATAATGATAATAATAATAGCGATGATTATAACTAAAACTTATATAGCGCAATTTTCCATGACGTACATGATCAAATGCGCTTTACAATTAAATAAAATCATTCAAAAGAGGCTGAATATACAACTAATTAAGATATATAAAATTATACGTTGAGCAATAACAATTTATAGCGAATAATAACAAATAAAAAGCCTATTTAAAAAGATATGCTTTAAGATAGCACTTAAAACTTGAAAGCGAGTCAAGACCGGATATGCTACTCGGTAGATAAACTGAATCTTGGACACATACCTTTTTTAGCTTCTTTGACTTTTTTCTTGACGACGATGCATCATCTTCGTCAGAGGTAATAGAAATTACCATTTTGGTGTCGTGAGTTTGCTGAGAGCTTTGGTCACCCGGAAAGCCACGTCTTTCACCTTCTCTAAGATTCCCACTCGCACTTCTCCCCTTTCTGATTACGGCTCGTAGATTTTCGTTTGACAAGTTTCTTAATTCTCCCTTTTCAGAACCACTCTTATCTTCATTGACCACTTCGGTAACACTGTCTCCGCTGTGCTCTTTCTCTGGGGGCACACCATCTTCGCTGTCTTCTTTCTCCTGGGGCACGCCATTGTACTCTGCTTTCTCGCCTGACTCATTTGGGACACAACCATCCAAATTCGCGAGGGCACGCCTTATAGAGTAAAGGGAGTCAGTGGGGTGAACAACGTGTTCTTCCTGGGCTCTACTGGAATGCGGCCTGAAATAAAAAATTCGGAGAGATATTTAGTGACTGGCGAAAATAATACTTTTTCTTCCTATTACCTTTACTTCCGATTTCTGCTCTTTTGTCTCGATAATGGTATCGTACATTTCCCGGCAAGCAATACTGGAATTTATTAGAAAAACGTCCAGGCTGTCACAATTGTCAAATGTCCATATTGTAATGCACTTGCATCCTTTCCATCCTTACTTGCTAATAATTGTTAACATTTATGTAGTGACGTTTTCAGAGATAAGTACATCCCAATAAAATGTTTCGTTTCCCATCGCCTTCTCGTGAAGTTAGGTCGGTGGGGCCCAAAAAAAAA